TAGTAAAAGAGTTTTAAAAAACTGATTAAATTCTTTGATGGAAGTACGTTCAGGGTGACGTGGAACCTGAGAGACTGTCCTCTTTAGGTGGTGTTTAAGGTAGGCTGTTATCGCATCTCTGTGTGGACATTTCTGGTTATCCCAAACACCGATTCTAGTTTTAGATCTTACATCTTTCTCTGAGCTGAAGTCTGCCTCTCAGTAGTTAGTTAGCAGGCCCCGTGGCAAACTGTGAGTACTTGAACCACCTAAATGGGCACCCAGGTATGTCCATGCAGCCACGGAGGCCCAGAGTTGCCAGGTCTTCTAATATTTGAAGAGAAGCTGGAAGTTTTTATATGAAATCACCTGTTTTATTGTGTGACGAGCATGCACCAGGCACTGTGCTAGATACTGGGGATGTAGCCATGAATATGTCAGAGAGCCTTTCCCCTGGAGAACTTGGTATCATTTCTGTCTGCCACCTTTCTCCAGGCTGAGTGTCCCCCATTTCCTCAAACCTATCTCCCTGAGACATCACTTAGAGACCCTTCCCCCAGCATCCTGGAGCTGTCCTGTGAAGGTGCTCTGGTTGAAGTAGCGCCCTGAGGGGCTGCTGCCCCACACTGGACACCACCCACGTTCCCTTTCCCACTTGCACAGAGAATGCCTCCCTCTTCCTTATCTCTGTACCTGGTAGGTTCTCCTACTGCTAGAATTCTCTCACTTTTAATCATCTTTCTCTGTTTCTCCTCTCTTTCACCTGCTATGCTGTTAACTCTTCAGTAGCCAATGCTGTGTCTTCTCTTTGTATCTCTGGGCTCCACGTTATACCTGGCATCTAGCAGTTGCTCAATAAATATCTGTTGGAGTGAATTGAAATGAAAAATATTGACTTAGGCGGTTCCCTGACTGTCTATTGGTAGTTTGGTCTGTTTCGGTAACCAGGACACAGTAACTCGGAGCTTAGGATAGACTAACAGCCCTTGGACATACCATGTGTAGAGTTTTAATCTGGATTGCGAATATCTTGTTCTCTTTTATGTCCAAATGTGGGTCTTTGCTGTTACCCATATTCTGTCGAATCCTCTTAGAATGAAGTAACAACTTCAAGCATTTAAATTCTTTGTGAAACTCAGTCTCCCAGTACAGTAACTAACTCTCCTTCCCAGATACAGGCCTTCTGCAGGTTTGGTTGGCATATACTATAGATTCGTTTAAGATTTTGGTAAAAATATTGAACAGCTCAGAGATATTATCAGAACCTGTGACGTACCCTGGAGGTCTCCATCCGAGGAGACATTGATTTACTATTCACCGCTCTTTGTGTGTGCTCAAACCTGTCTTATTCTGTCTTGTATGCAAGGAGATCCTGAGAGAGTCTGATAAATGTCTTTGTTAAAATAAAGATGTCACGCATCTATCACATCCCGTCTCCTATTAACATGTGAATTAGTCAGTTAACTCCCTTTTTGTGAACCCCTGTTGGTGCCCAGAATCAGATTCTTTTTCCAGGGCTCACAAATAGAATAAGTTCTAAAATTTTGTCATCATTTCATCTTAAGCTCACTTGTCTATAATTTGGAGAGTTCTTTCTCCGTCTTTTAGACATTTAGAAAACTCTCCTAATTCTAGATTTTTGGTGATTTCTCAAAGCTTAGATTTACTAGTGTCAGGTACCATGTGAGAGGCTTTCACACTGCTACCTCATCACTGCAGTGGTTCCCCATTCAGCAATTAAAAAAACATATTTTGGCATCTACTTGAATTCACTTAAAACACCAGGCACTCTGTCCTAACCAATTTCCAGATATAATCTATATGGATAACATCTGCATATTTTCAGATATGATACATATGGACACAAAGGTGACTCATGCCTACTATTTTATATCATTTTGGAAGGGGAAAGGAATGTATGTTAATTACCTCATAAAAGTGTGGTAATATAGTACGGTCGGTCGTCTTCAGTGATGCTTTTTACTTTCCAAATGGTTGAATAACAAATAAATTAGAAAAATAATAGGTCTTTTGTTTTCTTTTTAGAAACAGTGCTATTATTTGTAATCCAGAGTTATGATCTAAAGTATAATATGTGTGGGAATAGTCAAATCCATAAGGGTTTTGGTTTATTAGGTGTCTTTCCTTCTCTGTATTGCCGTTTTTGTAATTAACACAGTGAGGTGCATCTTTTAGATTGACAGGGCCATTTCCATCTCTTCCTCTACTCACACTCACAAGACTTCTTGTGGGAGTTTGCTCCCACACCAAGCAATTCTCCGACACCTGCTGGGTGTCCTAGAATTCGATTCAGTCCTGACACTCCCTACCTGGAGTTAGCATCAGATCCGCCCAGGGAAGGGCTTGGTTCTACACGATTGCCCCACTTCAGACACCAGTCGCAAGTACTGGGTCCCCAGGTTACCCCCATTTATGTCTGACCTGGCTACAAGTTGGGGGTTCCCAGAACCCCCTCCTCAGCTTTGATAATTTGCTGTAATGGCTCACAGAACTCAGAGAAACACTTAGTTTACCAGTTTATTACATAAAGAAGGATATGATAAAGTGTACAGATAAACAGCCGGGTGAAGGGATGCACAGACTAAGGTCTGGAGGGTCCTGAGTGCAGAAGCTTCTGTCCCTGTGGAGTTGGGCTGCATCACTCTCTGGGCATGTTGATGTGTTCACCAACCTGGAAGCTCTCTGAACCCCATAGTTCAGGGAATTTTATGGAAGCTTCATCACGTAGGCATGATCGATTATTAACTCAGCCTCCCTCACCTATGCCCTCCCTGAGGATGGGGGTAGGGCTGAAAGTTCCAAGCTTATAATCGCACGTGATCTTTCTCGTGACCAGCCCCCATCCTGAAGCCATCCAGGAGCCCAGTAAAAGTCACCTCATTAGAACAAAAGACACTCCTATCTCCCAGGGAATCCAAGGGATTTAGGAGCTCTGTGTCAGGAACCAGGGCCAAAGACCAAGGATTAGAACAAAAGGTGCTCCCATTGCTCTTATCACTTAGGAAATTGCAAGGAATTTACGAGCCCAGTGCCAGGAACTTGGGGGCAGAGACCAAATATTAAAACAAAAGACGTTCCTAGCACGCGTATCACTTCGGAAATTACAAAGGTTTTAGGGCCTCTGACCAGGAGTTGGGATGAAGATCAAAATATATATTTCTTACTATATCACAATATCACATATATATGTATATATATTTTTGAATACTTTTCTGGTTATTTCCTTACAGAAAATTCCTAGAAGTGGAATTTTTGGCCAAAAGTTGTATAATTTTTAAAGCCTTTGATACATGTCGACAACCTAGAGACCTTTCAGTTTGGGCACCCACCTACCACATGTGAGATTGCCTGTTTTCTCTCATTGAGATGGGTGTGAATGAATTTTAAATGAATGGCTTAGCTGGTCTGGAAAACTCAGCCTGATGAAGTGAGAAACAGTGTAAAATCAACCTCAGGGGGGTGGGCTGTCAGGGAACTGCACCCCCGTTCCCCGAGGATAGGGACTTAGTCTTGTCCTTCTCAGAGCTCCGCCATCCTGAGCTTTCTGATTTCCGGCAGCTCTATCGGCCTGTGGGCGTCCTCTTGTACTGGAATGGGAGGGATGCTGTTCTCCCTTCTTTAGCTGGACGTGCCAGTCCCCTAGTTCACTGCCCTTTCCTCTTTCCTTCTGAATGAGGTATTTCACACTGGGCTCCTATCTTAAGGATCTTGGGGGTGTGCGCAGACTCATGGGTCTGTCAACACAGCTGTCTGGAGTCTTGCTTTGGAGCCCTGGAGTTGGATCCCTCACAGCAATTCATTTTTCTAGGCTTAGTTAGGACCATGATTACTTCAGTGGGAATGAAAATTGAGTTGATTAAGTGACTATGACATTTAGATTCATATGTCCAAATAAAGCCTGAGATGTTTAAAATTCTGTAGGTTAAAGCTGTGTATGAATCAAGTCAAGTGTTTAGAATATGCATATGCCATCGCTAAAGTTGACTTTTAGATCCTTCATTGTTTTTGGCAAACAGGAGGTGTTTGTGTAGGAGAAGCAGATCAAGAGCATGAGAATAAAGATGTGGTATTACTGTTTTGGTAAACTGGGCTGGAGTCTAGACAGCTATAGGCAGTACCACTTAGGGTGTGTATGCTCTCCCAAGAGAAGAACCCTTCCCTATACAATTGTATCTTTTCTATAACCCTACAGACTCAGTTGGGGACATTCTGTCCTGTTTTTAAATTAAAGGCTACCTTCAGAAGTCTCTCTGTTGTGCATTTCTGTCTTAGGAAAGTGTTTTTTAAGATGTTGAACAATTAATTTCCCTTCTCTTTGTGGTTCTCTTTTTAGTTTCTTTGTTGTAATCCTAGAATTCAGATTCTGAGATCTATAGGAATTTATGTTAGAAAACATTTAATACAAATTCTGAAATGCTATGTTCTTTCTCATCCTTATAATTTCTGCTACAGCTGGTAATTGTGGATAGGTGCCCTGAAGATCCCTTGTGGAGTGGTAATTAACGATGATTCCTTGTGCGTAATCTGAAAATTTGGTTCCTGGTGGCACCGTAGGTGAGAGAACACAGTCATACCTGGTTTGTCTCAACCTTGACCACAGCTGCAGTTTCCTGCTCTTTCTAATCTCTGGTGGCCATAGCTCTGACCCACAGCTCTGTGGACTTGCCTCTAACACTCAGCTGCTTAGGAAGAGGTGGCCATGATACTGGGGGGTGTTTGCATCAGCCAGGGAGTGAGGGAAAAAGGGATGGCATGCCTGTCTACCTGCCTTCTCAGTGAGGCCACAGTTTTCTGAAGTAATATTGTATTGCATTTGCAGTGATTTCTGCAGATAGCAAAATTTTTAGATAGGAAAAAAATTACACTCAAATGTACAGAATCACCTGATATTGGGAATCATTTAAAAATAATTGAATAACTTATCTTTTAAAATGATGGATTTCCTTTGTTTGTGCTTATGTTCTGTTTGTAGCTAATTCAGTTTTTGTTTGTTTTTACAGGCTAAACATCTTTTTGACTGGCATGAACCCATTCTACTTTCATGCAGTAAATGTCATTTTACACTGCCTAGTGACCCTTGTGCTGATGTACACCTGTGACAAAACTGTCTTCAAGAATCGTGGACTTGCTTTCGTTACAGCATTGCTTTTTGCTGTGCATCCTGTTCACACAGAGGCGGTGAGTGTCATTGGAACTCAATGAAATAATGAAGCAAAAAAGTGATCCTGGGCTTCCTGGTGGCGCAGTGGTTGAGAGTCCGCCTGCCGATGCAGGGGACACGGGTTCGTGCCCTGGTCCGGGAGGATCCCACGTGCCGCGGAGCGGCTGGGCCCGTGAGCCATGGCCACTGAGCCTGCGCGTCCGGAGCCTGTGCTCCGCAAGGGGAGAGGCCACAACAGTGAGAGGCCTGCGTGCCGTGGAAACAACAACAACAAAAAAAAAGTGATCCTTTTCCCCTTTCGAAATCATGTGAATTTAAAGCTCTACTAAAGTGTTTATCTTTATATATAAATCATTCTGCATGACAGCTTTTCTTTCTGAATGTTCAAATGGCCTTTACTGCACCTTCAGGATTTCACACCTGTTATTCACACCTGTTATTATTACAGGTGGTAATAAATGACCACAGTTCTTTATCTGCAGAAAATTTAAGTCCTAATGTGTTTTAAACAGCAAGGGGCGTTTTGAGATACTTAACGCTGAGTCATTGTTCGTGCTCTACAATTTTTTAACCTTTTCTCACTCTGCTTTATGTTTATAATATTCATGATGCACAGCTGTAAGTGCTAGGTGAGAGACTATAAAAAGTTGAACTAACATTCTTCAAGTTAGACACATTTAGGAGACTTGCCATCAGTTTTCCAAGTTATTTAGTATGAATTGTAGTTATTTGGTGGATAATGAGAAATTTATTTAGAACATATAGATAGTTTAGATCTGTGCTCTTATTTAAAATATGGACTTAGTCACGCACCAAGATGGCGTCATCCAGCTAACCTTGTTTCACATCTCAGTAACCACAGTTGGTTTATTTCATGTGTGTTGCTAGGGGTGGATGAAGACTTTCCAAGGGGTATGTGGGTACCACAGTTTTAAAAGAATTGTTTCCAGAGGCTCGGATTGCATCCGGACACTTTCCTGCAGCTCACATCTGGGTCTGAGTGCACACCTGGGGGAAAGGTGTCAAATTGATTCTCCTCTCCCTGTTCCCCTTTCAATTGCCTTTTTCTTATTTAAAGAAAAATAAGGAATGTCTTGCATACATTTACTATGCCCCAGGGGTACAAACAGGCACCTTACAATGAAACAATTTGATATATTGGTGTCAGCCAGGTCTCCTCTAATTAAGGCATCATAAACCCAAAGTAGGGCTTCTTGTCTTTTTCTGTCTTTACATATTTCTGTGAGGAATGCAGCATGGCATTAGAAGTAGGCTGTGGTGGCCTGTGAGATTCTGGTTGTCATGGGGATGTATAATATGTTCATTTGATCTGACACAAGAAGTCTGATTTGGCCAATTGGCTTAATAATGAGAAATGGTTAGGCCATATGATGGACGTTTGCCACAAACAAAATTCTAAATCTGTAAGCTCAAGGTTTTGACACAAGTGAGAGTGATAAAGAGCGAGTGATAAAGAAGAAAATTATTTTATAAAAAATTACTTTCTTAAGGGTACTTTTTCCAGCCCTTTCTGGGTATTTTGGACTGAACAAGGTACCTGTAAGTGGAAGACTATTAAGTATAAGTAATAGTCCTTTGCAATTAAGTATAAGTAATAGTCCTTTGCAAAGTCTCAGTCAAGCCTTTTTGCTGTACTTCTGAGAAACTGTGAAAGCAAACGAAACTAATAACAGGTAACTCTAATGATGGGTACACTTCATTTATTTGCTTTCAGCCAGATTAAAGGAGAACCTGATAGAATTGTCTGCTGTTAGATCATTAAACATTATGCAAGATGACAGATCACCATGATTTTTCAAATAACTTGGGTGTTCAAAGAATTAAGTCACTGTATAACATGGCTACTTCTGTCCTCATTTATGTAAGCAGTGTTTAAATACAAAAGCTACGGATAGGACTGATGCCGCATGCTTTCTTATTCTAACAAAAAATAATATTCAGTCATAGCTAACTGAATTTATTAAAAAGAAAGCTACAACTGTATTATTAAGAGGTGTATGTTTTATATTTAATAATTATTTATCATTTTTCTAACTTACGATGTATTTAATAATTGAAAATAATAGTAATTGGACTAATAATACAAAATTGAAAATTAGCACTTAGGTGTTTTGATCACAGGAAATTTAAAAAATAAATTTAATTGCATATGTATTTTTACTACAGAGAGAGATAATAAATAGAATATTTAAAAATGTAACTATAACACATTAAGAAAAGATGCTGAGGGGGAAATAAAATGGAAATATGAGTTTAAGGGGAAAGGGTGTAAAATGTCTATCATTTAGAGAAGAGCCTGTTCATATTTGTGTAAGGGGAACATGATGAGCTTCAAATTGCTGTGGTATGTTTCAGGTGTATTTGGTACATTTAAAGGAGTAACATTATGGCGTTATTTTAAAATGTCAGTTTCTAAAATGCACAGGAAGTTAGATCCTTTGAATTATTTAAAATTATGATGAAAAATTTTAGATGTGAATTTTAAAAGATGAGAGCAATGCGTAAGTTTTCAATATGATTGTTAGATGAAGAGAAGTAATCAAGGACTACTACTCCTAGCCATATAGAATATATGACACCAGGTCAGTGGCAATGTTTTAATCTAAGCCCATCAACAATATTATGTTTCTGACAAATAATTTCATAAGTAGAGTTAAAAATTCGTGCTTAGAGTGTCTTGGAGAAAATTTTTGTAGGAAAGAACAAATGAGTAGAATAAGAATGGTCCTAATTCTGTGCTTGTAGAGAGGGCGAGCACAAAATGCAGGTAATCTCGGGCAGTGTGATCATGAGCTAGCTGGAGTTCTAAGAAAAAAGGAAAATCCTGTTAGCAAAATGACCTGTAAGAAAGGGTTTCACAAATACCATATGCTAACACATATATATGGAATCTAAAAAAAAATAATGGCTCTGAAGAACCTAGGGGCAGGACAGGAATAAAGACACAGACATAGAGAATGGACTTGAGGACGTGGGGAGGGGGAAGGGGAAAGCGGGACGAAGTGAGAGAGTAGCACTGACATATATACACTACCAAATATAAAACAGCTAGCTAGTGGGAAGCAGCTGCATAGCACAGGGAGATCAGCTCAGTGCTTTGTGACCACCTAGAGGGGTGAGATAGGGAGGGTGGGAGGGAGACGCAAGAGGGAAGGGATATGGGGATATATGTATATGTGTAGCTGATTCACTTTGTTATACAGCAGAAACTAACACACCATTGTAAAGCAGTTATGCTCCAATAAAGATGTTAAAAAAAAAAAGGTTTCAAGCAGCTTTTGTACTAATCGGAAAAAAAAAAAATCCATGGTAACACAATTATGGGGACAAAGGAGCCTGAGAGCTAGACACTTATTTGGGGAAAAATCTTAAAGAAACTATTTGCATTCAAAGGAGATGGGGGAGGCATAAGAAGGCAAAGAAATTTGACCTGTATAATAAACTATACTGGAAAGTAAAATCAAGAGACTGTTATTTAATTATAGATATTAGTTCAGGTTTCTAGAAAGGAGCAGAGAAATAGAGAAAAAGGAATGTGTTATGAAAACATAGTGATACATTATTTAAGAAAAAGAAAAACAGACCATAGTGTGATGAAAGAGGAAGTTAGTAGGATGTGTCTCCTCTTTGTTAAACAAGAACAAAAATGAGACCATAAATTACAGCAGGAAGGATGGAGGGCTTAACTTGCGGGGGGAGGGTTTAGTGTAAACATGTTGATATGATTAAAGATTTGCTTTCTTAATTACGTAACCAACAAATTGTTAAACGAGTGCTTGCTTAGTGCAGGCCCTCTGCTAGGTGCCAAGGGGGTATGTGGGTGGGCAGTGGGGTCCCTACCCACAGTTTGTTCATAAGCTCCTAGAAGAGCCAAAGAGCGTACACATAAATACATACAAGACAAAGCAATATGTTGTAATAAAACTGAAATTCCAGCGAAGGGAAAAATTATTTCCAGTTTAAGTAGAGAGGAATAAATTCATTTAGTTATGTAATTTTTCAACAAATATTTGAGTGACCATAATACAGTCAATCAGTGCAGGGCTATAGCAGTGAATAAGGTAGACCTAGAGCTTTCCTCATTGAAGGCCTTGTGATTCTTGGGTTTCCTGACAGTATATTTCTTGGGAAATTTTTTTTTTCTGAATCCCGAATCATGAGAAAAATCAGAGAAATTGGGAAAATGGGGAAATCATTGTAATTCTCCTATGAGAATTAAAACTTAACAATCATCATAGAGACATTACTGTTTGAAGGAATGCACTTCTGTCCAGTCAAAAGCAAGAGCAGGAAATGCTGACACATGGAGTTGAAGGTTAGGGTTGACGTTTCCACAGCTGGGACAAGAGTACTTAGGAGAAAATTGGTCATGATCTAATCAGCCAGTTTGGCTTTCAGCTGTTGCCATGTGTTAAGTGTGTGTTCCTGGCTCAGTCTGCCACCAATAGAACTCATTTTGCAGGTAAAATAATTAATAGATATAATATAATAGTGATAGTCCAAGAAATAACAAGTTTTGGGGGCAAATTAAGTCCTTACTTGGCAGTTTCCACATGTGATTCTGTTAAGCCTGCTAGGAGATCTGAATGTTACATTATTTGAATTCTACTCAATTATGTTCACTGATTTTTTTCAAATGTTTGAATATTTGTTAAAGGAATACGGTTCCCAGGTTACAGCTACCTGCTTGGTGATGGAAACTTGAAGCTTAAGGGAAGAAATACATGCTCTCCATCTCTTTGTATATTTGACCAAGTCCTTTTGTACTTCCCAGCACCCTAGGTTCAGCCTGCATTGTCACGGGATCAAGCCCAAGGGGTGACAACTTGATGTTCCATCTTTGCTTCTTGTTGCCCACTCCCACCCCCTTTTCATTTATTCCATGCTCTCGCTCTCATCACTTTAACCTCCCCTTCCAGGAACACCCAGTATGCTTTCAGGACTCTCTTTCCTCTGCCTGGAATGCTTCTGCATTCCCTCTCTGGCCCAAGATTCACATCCCCCTGTCTTGAGTTTCCTGAAGTCCTCCTTGCTTGACCTTTAAGTCTCAGTGAATAAGGCCAGCCTTTCCACGAAGCCTTCCCAGATCCTACAGTCCAAATTAATGCCTTCAGTCTTCTCATGGCAGTGATTTCTCCCCTTTACAATACATGCAGTTTCCTTGTAACCTCTTAATACCCTCTTTGACTCCTCACCAGACGTTAACTGCTTGGGGCAGGTTTAATCCCTCCAGCTGGCATAAATACCTGGCAAATAGGAGGCACTTGTTAAATGTTTGTTGACCGGCGTGAAACATGCAATTACTGAACAAGATGATGTGGACAAATTGACTCACTGTGTGGCTAGTCTGGCCAGATAGTAGCTGATGACAAGCACCTTGTTTTTAAGACACTAACCCCCTTGCCCCAGAGACCCCAGCTTAACAGGGATACAGAGTAGGTGTTCAGTGACTGCTTGGTGGTTTGGAGCTGGCAGCAGAGTCTCTCAGTGTTAGCACTGACATTTCAACCCCCGCTCTGAGCTTCTGCTCCAAGGGACACTCCATTCTTCAAATCTGGGCGCGTCCAGCTGGCACACGCTGCTATTGCTGCTGCTGTTTCCCGGCAGAGCTAACTGACTACAGTTTGAGAAGCAGGGCTTCAGGCGCCTTGAAGGCATTAGTTATGCCTGCCTAGCTTGTGATTGCCTCATTCCAGCTTGCCACACCCAATATCAGCTTGCCAGTCCTGCTGTTGTCTGGGTTGGCCACAGCAGTAGTGCTGTGTTGGGTGTCCCCCTGGGCCCAGACGCCTGGGCCTTATCCCAGGACTTTGTTGCTGGCGAGCTGGGCTCTCTGTTTAACCTCCCAGAGGCCTTGCTGGTGATGCCGAGCTCAGTGCTCAAAGGGGCGGTGCCTGTAGCCTGAGCAGGCCTGGGCTTCACAAGTGAACCGTGTGCAGTTGTTACTTTACGTACTGTGAGTCTGAGCTGGGCCTTGACACCGAGGTGAAACCACACTGTCACTAATAGACATATTGGATTATCTAATAACGTTAACATAAAATATCATACATGTAAACCTTAAAGTAAAAAGATGGTTTCCCTACATCACGCAGAAAAACCCGTCTCACTGTTAAGAGTCTCACCCCCTTTCTCTGCAGGGAAAAGGAAGAAAGAAGGGCATCAGCAATGAGTGGGCACTTTGTATATATCATCTTACTTATTACAACAGTAACGTGAGTTAGGGGGTGTAATACTCATTTTAAAGATAACAAAACCAAATCTCAGAACTTAAAGATAACAAAGTTGAATCTCCCTCAGTTGGTTAGGGGAGCCTGTATTCAAGCCTTGGATGGTCTAGCTCAGCGGTCCCCAACCTTTTTGGCACCAGGGACTGGTTTCGTGGGAGACAATTTTTCCACAGACCTGGGGTGGGGAATGGTTTCAGGATGATTTGAGCACATTACATTTACTGTGCACTTTATTTCTGTTATTATTCTGTTGTGATATATAATAAAATAATTATGCAACTCACCATCATGCAGAATCAGTGGGAGCCCTGAGCTTTCAGTTGCTACTCACTGATAGGGTTTTGATATGAGTCTGCAAGCAGTTGATTCATTATGGTCTCTGTGCAGTCAAACCTCTCTGCTAATGATAATCTGTATTTGCAGCCACTCCCCAGCGCTAGCATCACTGCCTCAGCTCCCCCTCAGATCATCAGGCTTTAGATTCTCATAAGGAGCGCACAACCTAGATCCCTCGCATGCGCAGTTCCCAGTAGGGTTCACGCTTTTATGAGAATCTAATGCCTCCACTGGCCTGACAGGGAGCGGAGCTCAGGCAGTAATGTGAGTGATGGAGAGCGGCTGTAAATACAGATGAAGCTTCGCTCACTCACCTGCCGCTCACCTCCTGCTGTGCGGCCCGGTTCTTAACAGGACACAGACCACTACCATCCGTGGCCCGGGGATTGGGGACCCCTGGTCTAGCTCCATGTGTGTGTCATTGCCTCTCCTTTATGACTGCAAAATTTGCTTATTATATGAAGATATTTATAGGTATATTTCCCAGAAATCTATTTTCCACTGTTAATTGTTGATTGATTCTCCAACACACCATGGGCTTCACGTCTTCTGTGATTTGGGTAAGGCTGTTTTCTGTGCCTGAATGTCAAGTCTGTTTATTTCCCTTGCGAATTCTTCCTCATATGTGACCTTTTCTTTGAAGCATTCTTTGAACCATACCCCGTTTTTTTCCTTTACAGTTTTATTTCCTGGATTTCAAAAAATTAAGAGAAATGTACACGTTTGGAGTAGTGAAATAATACAAAGATTTATAAATGGCCATCTGTCCCCACCCTTCTTCCATTTCAGTCCCTTTCTGAAGTAACACAATAAAAAAAAATAATTTCAAGCTTAAAAATGTAGTGACCATGCACTCTTTATCCAGAGTCACCAATTTTTAACATTTTGCAGCATATGTTTTATCATCCTTCCACTCTTTCTCCTTCAATATATAAAAATATTACTTGCTTTCTGAAGCATTTGAGAGTAGGTTGCATAATTCATGCTCCTTTACACCTTAATAATTTCGTTGTATATTTTCTAAAACCAAGGCCATTAGTCACTGTTTCTTTTTAGCCTCTTTTAGTCTTAAGTTTTGAACAGTCACCAGTCTTCAGTGTCTTTCTATTACATTTATATCTTTAAATGTAACTTAAAATTTATATTAGGATTATATCTAATATACAGTGTTATTAATATATTTGTCTTAATATTGTAATTGACAATGGTTTATCATTTATTGCTGTCCTTATTTATTATGATGTTCAAATTGTTGCATATTTGGTCAGTGGGAGCCCATTGTTACTGGCTTCTGTGTCCTATTGACATGTACCTGTCATTTTTTGAGCACTTACTTTCTGACATGAGAAGATGATCCAAGTGCTCTTGTATCTCCTGAGTCTCAACCCTGGAATCAGCTGCTTCTCCAAGGGGCCCACGTTCTCTTTAGTGGATAAATGGCCTGTGGTTAGTGTCAGGATGGCTCTTTGCTACTGGGATATTTTTCTTTCAGGCCCTTTTGGTGATGTTGCTAAGAAACACATAGACGCATGCACGTACACTCACACATAGTGATGGTGAGTTCATACTCCTTCCCATTCTTGTCTTATTTTTTTCCTAGTGCTCTGTAAACATCCTCTGTTCCATTAGCACTCTGGTGCCCAAAGACTAGCACAGTGTCCAGAACTCAGTCATTGCTCAAAAAAATATTTTTGAAAAAAACCAGTAAATGAATATACTTTGATGCTATGAATTGATCTTCAATAGAAGAAAGGTTAAAAATGAAGTTAAGCATGAAAATCTTGCCCCTTCCTTCCTCTTTTTCTCCTTCTTCAAAATTATTGTTAAATATAACCAGAAGTGGTTAGTCATATATCAGAATTTAAAGAATAATGTGTTTTCTAATTTATTATTCCTTTCATTCATCTGAAAACAAATAACATTTCTGTAATGCGTTTCTGAAAGTGGTTTTCTGAGGTTTTTATTTTTTCACACTTTCTAGGTGGCCGGAATTGTTGGCAGAGCTGACGTGTTGGCATGCTTGCTGTTTCTGTTAGCCTTTCTCTCCTACAGTAGGTATGTATGTCTAAGAATGCCCTTATCTGTTTACAGTCATGCTGTCCCCTGGGAGTTTCTGGGGTGTGTGTGTGTGTGTGTGTGTGTGTGTGTGTTGACTCTGAGCTCCTGCCTGAGAGAGGAGGGAGGCTTCTTGGCAGTGAAATGCCCAGTGAGCTTCCTGGAGACCTGGGATAGGAAACCGTCTCCTTACCAAAAGCTAGGCTGTTCTCTTCCAGCCGCATTCTGAACCATGTCATAGCCTTTTAAAAGGACTGCTCTCCCAGTGCTGGGAAGATAAGCTCTTGCTTCTTGATTTCTCTTACTTGTAGTTTCTTACTGAGAATGGAATTTGAAATCTTAGCTCTGAGCCAAAATATACTGGGTCTAGTCCTCTCTTCTATTTAACTATGATTTGTTTAATTTCTCCTTTTCATTTTGGTCCTACATTTTGTTTTGTTTTTTTCCTCTTTATTATCCTCATTAAAGTAGCTCAAAGCTTAAAACAACAAGGCTGAATTGAAAGTAGTATTTCTCAACTGTGATTTTCCAATTTGCGTATCCTTTCATCAAAATACAGAAGCTTCTTGCTTTGGTAGACTGAAAAACAGTAAAACAATTTCCCATTATATTGCCCCTTTCCCCCTAACTTGATCAGATTCTCACCTGAGTCGTGACATATCCACATAGGGAAAGGGGTGGGTAAAAAATGAAGGTAGGGCTTCCCTGGTGGCGCAGCAGTTGAGAATCTGCCTGCTAATGCAGGGGACACGGGTTCGAGCCCTGGTCTGGGAGGATCCCACATGCCGCAGAGCAGCTAGGCCCGTGAGCCACAACTATTGAGGCTGTGCGTCTGGAGCCTGTGCTCCGCAACAAGAGAGGCCACGATGGTGAGAGGCCCGCACACCGCGATGAAGAGCGGCCCCCGCTTGCCGCAGCTAGAGAAAGCCCTCGCACAGAAACAAAGACCCAACACAGCAAAAATAAATAAATAAATTAATAAAATCCCTGTTTCCACTTCCCAGCTCACGTCATTGTAGTCATTGTTTATTAAAAAAAAAAAAAAATGAATGTAATGGGGGCAGGTGACTCAGAGGGTGGCCCAGGAGAAAGGGGGCCAGTGAGCCACATTGCCCTGCTTCCTGGAGGGATCCTGGTTAAGGATTTGTGAACCTTGATCTCTAGGTCAGTTCATTGGCCTATAATCTTATAAAACCCAGTGACTCCAAGGAACACTGTTCTAAACCAGTGATTCTCAGTAGGGGGCAAATTTGCCCACCTGCCCCAGGGGGACATTTGCAATATCTGGAGATACCTTTGCTTGTCACAACTGGAGAGGTGCAGCTGGCACGTGAGTAGAGGCCAAGGATTCTAGAGTGTGCGGGACAGCCCTTGTAACAAAGAATCATCTTCCCTAAAATACCAGTAGTACTGAAACTGAGAAACCTTGTTGTAAACCAGTTTAGAGCTTGGGTCAAAGATGGACTGAATTAAGCTTTATGAAGTTTTGCTTTAAGACCAGAGTCTCTTCTTAATATAGTACCAGGCTTCTAGTCCTGGCTTTGTAATCTCCCACTGCATTGCTAGGTATATAAAAGAGTGTTGTGAAAATATTAAAAATATAAACCCAAATTCAACAGTTGTTTCCTATTTGCTCTGGTGTTAGAACAAGATTAATAATCGCTTTTGAGTTTGAACTTGATCCTCAGCCTTCTTCTCTGTGTTGATCAATTTGGGAACATGAGTGGCCCTGCAGCATATCCATATCTGTGTGGTAATAAGCCACACTGTTACAGCTTTCTGTTGTGCAGGCCATTCGCACTTGGAGTAATTTTAAGCTATAAACCAGCTTCGGAGAAAAAGCCTGTCTCCTACAAATTTGGCATATAATTTAGATGATTGTTCTAAGACATAACAATAAGGGTAAGACGTCACCACTTCAGATATATTGGCCTTCAAAAGAGTAGGAGCAAATTGGTGTGCCACCTGTGGAAGGAACAGTGGAATTTCTTGGTGTGGCGCTGACTCTGTTTTGTAAGGTGAAAAAAGACTTTACAGCAGCTGGAGGGTTTTAGAAAATCCCTGCTGGAAATTATGCTGAGAAAAAAAAAAAAAAGCTTTACTTAATACATTCTCATGAAAAACAAATTTAAAACTACAGTTTAGAAACTAATACAACATTGTAAATCAGCTGTACCTCAATAAAAAAAACCCAAAAAACAGATTAGCCAGAAGAAAAGAAAAAGACTAAAACGTGTATTTTCATCACAGAAATGATGATTGTGTTTGGTATATATCCACTGATTTCTTTGTACAGAAGCATATAAAATACCTTCACAAAAATAATAATAATGATAAACACTTAACATGTAATAAGTCATTTACTGAATCTTCCCTACAACACTGTGATCCCATTTCACACATGAGGGAACTGAGGCACAGGGAGGCAACCGACCTGCCCCATGTTACCCTGTTAGTTAACAGCAGAGCTGTGATTTGAACCCAGGGAACCTGGCTCCAGAGTTCATTCATGTGGCTTAGTAACCTGTTGTATTCACTTAAAATATATTCACCTAAACATCTTTCCATGTCACTAAATACATCTCTATGGTAGCATTTTACATGGCTTTTTAGTGTTCCTTTGTTACAAGCCATAATTTACCAGAATTTTTTTTTTTTTTTTTTTTTTTTTGCGGTACGCAGGCCTCTCACTGCTGCGGCCTCTCCCGTTGCAGAGCACAGGCTCTGGACGCGCAGGCCCAGCGGCCATGGCTCACGGGCCCAGCTGCTCCGTGGCATGCGGGATCCTCCCGGACCGGAGCACGAACCCGTGTCCCCTGCATCGGCGGGCAGACCCTCAACCACTGCGCCACCAGGGAAGCCCTACCAGAATCTATATATGCCTTAATTTAAGTACCAAATTCAGCATTGTTGGACATTTACTTTTTTCCATCTTTGCAAATTTTAAATAACACTGTGATGAACATGCTTCAAGAAATCTTTGCTCACCTACTTACTCAGAATACAACGAAATTGGTGCTAGATCTTATCTTTAAAAGGTGGTTATTTCTTAGCGACCCACATTTCTTCTCAGAGTAAAAGCAACTCAACCTTGTTTTTCAGGAGTGTGGACCAGTGTCGTGTTGGGGAATGTTTCCCTCCCACGGCTTCTCCCTTCTTCCTGCTGCTCAGTCTGTGTCTGGGGACCTGCGCTATGCTGGTGAAAGAGACGGGCGTCACGGTGTTCGGCGTGTGCTTGGTTTATGATCTCTTTTCTTTATCCCACAATCATGATAAATCGTAAGTCATTTAAAGTTTTGCTGTCAAGCAGTCCATGAGGTGCAGAGAAGAGTTGCTTAAATCAATAGTTTTCAAACTCTCATTAAAAAAATAGAGGTATAACATTTTATTAAATGTAACCTCCTCTTAGACTATCATAGAGTAAGGCTTATTTCCTTAGGATAAATGCATTATATGTGTTTAAACTCTTCACGCTTTTATGAAAATCCATGAGGACTATAAAGTTTTGTGAGCCCCAAATTTGGAATTGAAAAGTATCATTGCTGATTGCAAGTTTATATCGCCAGATTGTTTTGGTTGCATACTACTGAGAGATCTTGATTCACACAGTGGAGTAGTTACAAATGGTAACAGTCTGTTAACAGCTTGACTTGAATCTCTGCCTTCAAATGCTAAATTAGAGTCGTTTACTTGCTCTAGGGATGATGCCTTTACCTAAGAGTTTTGGAAGGGGCCTTTTGGAATTCCACAGAGGGCCAGTCTGAACCCTACAGGAATAATTACACGTCATATTCAAGTTAAAGAACAAGTTTATTTAGTAGCCTATTTTCATTTAAAAAACTTAAGGTACATTCATATTATCCTGTGGATTATAGATGATAAGAGTGACTAAGGCATATTAAAAGTTCAAGTACATACTATAATTTTCTTCCTCTGTCAAATCCATAATTACTAACAACTTGACATGCACACACTATTTTTCACTAATTATAAGGCCCTTACATTTGAACTTTTAATAAATGTCACTGATTTATTCTCCAGCCTTGTCCGATGAAGAATTTTATCTTAAAAAAAAAAATCCTGTCTTTTTAGCCCATTCCCTACATCTTTATGCTTCTTGACATAAAGATAAGAGCAGTGCTAGTGAGTGGCAACAAGCTGAGATGAGTCATTAGATTCTGATCACCTTCCTGCCTGGGCGTACTTGGAGATAATTTAAATAGATTTTAGTGCTCTGTTGGCTCTCTGTAAATCTCAGAGGCATGTAAAAGGAAGGAGCCCAGTTATCATTTTGATCCAAGCTCAAACCAAGAAAGCTGTGAGCCAAAGCACCTCCCCTAGGCTTATATGAGAATGCCTTTCATCTGTATCCTCTCCACCCGTGGTAGTAATTGCATTGCTGACCTTACTATTTAGAGAGCAGCCTATCCACCCCTCTGGCTTTCCACTTTCTTCTGGCATCCGCTTTGTATCTTCCTCCCATCGTCTTTCTGCTTCGCTCTACTGACAGCAGAAGATGTGGCAAGTGCCTGCAGACCCTTGCCTTTGGTTCAGTCCAGAGATATTTTAACCTCATATCGACTGAAATAAGACACACAACTTGTGGGTTGAGAATTATGTTTTATTTGGGGACATTGCTAAGGACTACAGCCTGGGAGGGCAGCCTCTCAGATAGCTCTGAGGGACTGTTCCAAAGAGGTAAGGGAGGAGCCGGGATGTATGGTTTTTTGCTGAAGAAAAATTTAAAAAAACAACTATATAGTCGAAACTAATTTTGTGCTAATCACAAAAGATCAGGCATCTCAAGTTAATGATTTCAGTGCTTTTCTATATATGGGAAGATGCAAGAGTCTGGGCTCATTAAAATTGTTCCTTTGATATGCATCTCAACTCTCTAGGGTCAGTATCCTATTTTTCTCCATCCTGAATTCCCCTCAGGGCGCACCTTCCAGGCCCGCTGCAGTGGCTGATAATATGATAGCAGGCAGCATTCTTGTTTAGCTCATCTTTGAAGTCGTATCTCCTCTGGTCTGAGGTCTCTCCAGCCCACTCCTTTTTTCTTCATCTGGTCACTGTTGAGCTAGGCTTTTTTCAAAGAGAATAATTGTCGTTTTTATTCCTTTAGTAATTGTTCTTGACCTTCATTATACCAAACTGCCAGAAGTTCTATTCTATGAAAACAACAATACTGCTCATATGTGGCTTGGATGTTGCATAGCTCATAGTTGGTGGGGTTTCTTTGTTTGTTTTAGTAACTTTTAGCTCTCACGACCGCCAGCATCTCTGCATAGGTGGAGGCATTCATTCTTTCCACCCACTTAACACATTCTCATTCTGTGCCTGGCCAAGAATAAGACAGTTAAGATTCCTTCCCTCAAAGAGCAATACTGGGGGAGACGGACGTTACATAAGTAGTTACGCGAATAACTGAGTACAGTGGTGAAAGTGGTGAGAAGGAACTGAGAGCAGGTAACAGGGAGACCTGGTCGATCACAGTATCTCTTGAGTGCAGGCCGTGTGCCAAGCACTGGGCCACGCCCTTTACAGGTATGAAGTCACTGATTGCTCACAACAACTTTTACCCTCATTTTACAGAGGAGAGAATTCAGGCAGGCATAGAAAGTAACCTCTCCAGAGTCACCCATCCCCTATTGCGACTTCTGTCTGTGTGAATCCAGAGCCACAGGGTTACCCCTGAGCCTCCGTGGAGCACACAGGATAGGGATTTGGAGACCCCCCAGGGCATCTGCATCTCAGATCCTGGGCTCCCATTTGTACCAGGAGACCAGCTCAGAGGATCTGTGTGTATTGGGGGGTCCTGACCCCTTTCAGAATCTCACAGAATCGTGTCCCCTTTTCCCAGAATAACGTACACACAAATTCTTATCTGCTCATTTAGAATAAACATCTTGGTACTTGGTTGTTCTTGAGGTCTTTTCATTGTATGATTCAGGAAACAGGAAAGAAACAACAGAAGCAAGTGTTGGAAGCCCTCGCCTACGTGAAGAGCAATTTATTCCTAAATTTTAAGATTGGACCACACGAACAGAGTTAGATTTCTTTTCTGAGACATCACCTTTAGGAAGAAACATTTTCAGTGAAAGAGCAGCTCCTGAAAGTTAAATTTTTTTCTTTTTAAAAAATTAGCATATAATTGCCAACACGCAGAAGATAACGTTCCCTGACCCCAGTCCCCACCCTCTCTCTAGAAATAACCATGATCCTGAATTTGGCATTTTTCATTTCTAGGGCGGTTTGCTTGTTATTACTTCATAAGTATATACCACTGAATATCAAATAGCATTGTTTACATACTTGCAGACTTTATATAAATTGTGTCTCTTGCTTTTCTTTTCATTTAACATTGGATTTTGAGATCCATCAATGTGGATACATGTGGCTGTAGTTCATTCATTTTAACTGTTGTGTAGTATTTAATTATCACAATTTATCCATCCTTCTGGAGTTTGAATTTAGGTTATTTTTACATTTTTGGCTATTATATAGCATGCTTCAGGTAACCTTTGTGTGCACGTACTTCCTGGGGCATAACCACAGAAGTATTGCTGGGGCCACAGATGCATACATGTTCACTGTGTTGATCTCACCGTGAACTGTGATTTCACTTGTTCACTGTGAGCAAGAGACATTGCTTTTGAAATGACTGGAGTGCAGCAGTGGATGAGAATCCCCTTTGTTCCACATTCTCCCCATCACTTGATAGTATCAGACTTTAAAAGTTTTGCCCAGCTGGTGGTTATGAATTATATCATCTCAGAAGATTCATGAAGGAAAATGTGAGAATACATTGGGGTGGATCAGCTGTGAAAAACATTTCACAAGACCATAATAATGTAAATCCCGAATATCACTTCAACTGAGTTAGGAGAATTCAAATTATATTTATTATGAGAGAAATATATGTGGAAGATGAGAAGAGGGTGGTTGTGAATGTGTGTGTGTGTGTGTGTGTGTGTTTGCGTATTGGTGACCACGTAAAAGGGACTGAGTCCTCATCTTCTATGGTAGCAACTCAATAAGACAAGTTCTAAAATTAGAAATAATATTATAATTTAATCTTATTTTAAAAATATCGTGATGAATACCAGAAACAGAAGAGCTAAAAGACTTGTGGACGGTTGCTTCCATGGAACAGGGCTTGGCGATGGGACAAGGGATTGCTGTTCCTTGTTGCAGGTCTTATCATTCTGTCTGACTTTGTTTCCCCTCCATTCCATGTACAATTAGGAGCAATGGGGTCGTCCATCAGCGCAGCCCACAGCGGCCCGGGAGCTCCCTGCCCACCGCACCGCCCGCGCACCCTCTCCGGGAGAACGGGAAGCAGCAGCGGTTCCCTCACAAAGGAGCTTGGGGTGGCTGCCATACTCCATTGCCACCTGAACCCAAGAGCAGTGGATTCCCTGTGTCTCCTCGAGCTGTGTGGTCCTTGATGAGGTACTGGGCTGTGCTCCTTGACCTTGCGTGTTTTCACCATCCAGCATCACCTGTTGCAGGGGAATCGCTAGAGAAGTGAAGCACCGAGTGGGTTCTTTGTGACACCCGCCCACACTTGTTTCCCTCCTTCTTTCTTTTTCCTTCCCCATCTCCCTTCCTCCTGCCTCCTTCCTTCTCTTCTTTCCATTCCTTCCTTATATTAGATCAGATGAAAAAGGAGTAGCTGGAAGAAGCAAGTAGAAGCCCTGCTGTCTGCTGTTATTTAGAAGGAGAGGGTGAGGCTCTGAAGCCTCCATTAAGAAGTGCAGACATATTGCTGCTTCCCTGTTGGAAGAGCCCTGGGCATCAGAGAGCAAGGCCCCTCAGTTTTCTGGGGGAGGATAGCTCTACCTTCTGCTGCTCCGTCTCTCCCTGCTCTTGGTGTGTGATAGGAATTTATTACAGCACAAGTATGGGAGTAAGCCCAGGGGACACTGCCTCTCAGAAATGTTTTTGAGGGTACAGGAAAATCTTTTTTTTTTTTTTAAAAAAAAAACATCTTTATTGGAGGATAATTGCTTTAAAATGGTATGTTAGTTTCTGCTTTATAACAAAGTGAATCAGCTATACGTATACGTATATCCCCATATCCCCTCCTTTTTGCATCTCCCTCCCACCCTCCCTATCCCACCCCTGTAGGTGGTCACAGAGCACCGAGCTGATCTCCCAGGGTACAGGAAAAACTTTAAAGGATTTTCTCTCTTTTTTTGAATCTTTTGACCTAGCCATGAAAATTAACATAGATTTATCAGAACTCATTAAATTAGCTTGCCTCTAAAATAGCTCAAGCCATGGGCAAGTCAGAATTTAATAAAGATGGAAATTTGACTCATACGATTAGCGGTTAAACAGCAGATTGCTATTCTTATTCTTCTGTGCAGTCCCAGAAAACTCCCTCATTTCTGGGTCTTTGTTTCCGATTATTCCTGCGGAAACCTGTCTTTTGGATCGTGCTCCATTTTTTCGTTCATCAACAAAGATCTATTGAGTGTCTACCACGTGCCTGGCATGTTCCAGGCACCAGGGATGTCCTGTTGAATAAGGAAGACAGAGTCCTTGCCCCTGCGTAGCTTCCCTTCCCGTAGAGGAGGACACACACTAAGTAACCAACAAAGAATGAACAGTGTGGTGGAGAGTGGTGGGTGGGCCTGGCTGGAACAACTCCATGTTGGTTGGTCAGGAAAGGCCCACAGAATCCTCCTGGATGAGTGGAGGAGCTAACCCTGCTCAGATCTGGGCACAGGGTTCCAGACTTGGGGAAACGAGCAAGTGGGGTTTGGAAGGGGCGAGCTCAGGGGGTGGGCAGGGCCAGATGGGGAAGGGTGTGTTGGCCATGGAAGTGAGTTTGGATTTTATTCTGAGTGGAAAAGGGAGACTTTGGAGGGTTCTGTTTGTTATCGTTGTTGTTGTTTGTTTAATGTGGAGGAAAATGGTTACATTAAGAATGTTCACTCTGGCTTCTTGTAGCGGATGATTAAGGGGCAAGAGTAAAGCAGGGAGACTTTCATACAGACTGAGGGGAAAAGAAAGGGTCTTGGCCGAGGCTGATAGAGACTGAGGTGGAGGGATGTGGTGGATTTGGGATAAGTTTTGGATATACATCTAACAGGACTTGCTGATGTTTGGGGTGAGGGGTGAGGGAAAGGCAGGAAACAAGGCTGTTTGTGTTTCTGGCTTCAATAGTTGGGTGCGTGGTGGTGTCAGTTACTGAGATGGAAAGGCTAGAGGAAAAATACGTTTGGGAAAGGATAAAATCACAGTGATGCTTGAAATTCCTGAGCAAGAAAGCAGAGAGGTAAATAGTCAAAACCTTGAGGATATCTTGACTTTTTCCATAACACGGCATGAAGGAAAAGAAGACAGAATATTTGGGGAAATTGTAAATTTTTTTAAGGAAGGCAGAGGAGGAGAAAAAACAAGAGTTAATCGCACATTACAGACTTTCAAGGAAGGACAAAGGTCAGGCTGCAGTGTGACTGAGTTCCATCAGGGCAGGGACCATGTCGGCTTCTGATCACATTTGTATTCCCAGTTCTTTTCATAGTGTCTGGCTAAGAGTAGTTGCTCAAATATTTGTGAAATGAATAAATTAATGAGTAGGTGGTAAGAAAGTATTGGAATTAAGCATAAATAGAATATTTTCAGTAAATTTGGTAATGAAGGAATGGGGCAAAGGATGTTAACTCCAGGGGTGTTAGGCTTTTGTTTTCATTTTTATTTTAAATTTAATGCGTGTGTGTATGTAGGTAGATAACTTGTAGAGAGTAGAGATGGAAGGTGCAGGAGCAGAAAGGAATAAGATGAAGTATGAATACCAGTGGTACACTGGTAAATGCTTAATAACTGGCTCTCCAGAGAAAGTAAATCCTGACTGGTGTTGGCCAATTTCCATGTAAATACTCTTACCATGTAGCTGATTTGAAGCTACAAATGTGACATTGCTGAACATGGAGCTGGGAGAGGTGTGCCATAGCTCACCATCATGAAGCATTTCCACTGCTCAATGGACAGTATATGTAGTAACCTCAAGAGCATAGATAACAGTAAAATGAAGGAAACTAATTAGGAAGTGATGAGCCTTGAGTACTTATTACCTTTGTTTTTAGCATGATTTACGTTTATAGAATTATTTTAAGATATATATTAATATATACAATATATTTACATACGTATGATTTATTATAGTTATATAATTTAATTTTCAATAATGGCTGTATTTAATAACTGGCCTGCAAAATTTCTGAAAATTTAATAGTCATCTCTAGCAAGCCAGTGTGAGTCAGCTCCAGCACTCCAGTGAAGAAGGTCTTTCAGGAGGGGAAGAAAACTTTATATCTGTGATCCATCCCAGGAGGTGGGCTGGCATTTCCCGCATGTTATCCCATGCAGCCATCACAACTTTCGTGTAGGGTAAACCTTAGAGTTTGCATTATCAGGTGGATATGGAAGAAGTTAAACGATCATTTAAAACGTTTGCATAGGGGCCACCGGTGGCGCAGTGGTTGAGAGTCCGCCTGCTGATGCAGGAGACACGGGTTCGTGCCCCGGTCCCAGAAGATCCCACATGCTGCGGAGCGGCTGGGCCTGTGAGCCATGGCCGCTGAGCCTGCACGTCCGGAGCCTGTGCTCTGCAACGGTAGAGGCCACAGCAGTGAGAGGCCCGAGTACCGCAAAAAAAAAAAAAAACAAAAAAAACAAAGAAAAAACATTTGCATAGTTAGTAAGTGGTAACATCAGGATTAGAACTCAGGCTGTTTGACCCCTAATCCTTTGCTTTTGCCTGTTTGTTATGCTCTGAAGTCCAGCTTCCCGGTTGAGGACTTGGCTTTGGGAAGGAGGCAGGACACTTGTTTCATGCTCTGTGGAGCTGGCCTCCCTGTTGAACTCTTGGGGGTAGAAGATTCTTGCAGCCATCCTTGGGTCAACAAATGAGGACCTTCTGACTTACTTCGATATAGGGTGTTGGTACTAATACATTGAATTAAATGACATGCTTTTTTTTTTTTTTTTAACTCCGAGCACCAGCCTGTTTTAGAAAGAATTATGCCTGGAGAGCAGTACGTAGGACAACAGGAACTGGTCGGGGTCTTAGTAAGTTAACATGTTTGTGGGCAAGAAAGACCATTATCCTTTCTTGGAGGGGAAAGTTGTCATGTATTTTCTTTCTTTGGAAAGGAAAGGTGTCATATATTTGACTATAAATTTGATTAGTATCAAAATTATTTAAAAAAAACTGTGTGTGTCCTTTTGTCAGAAGGTGATCAGGTAAAGAAAATAAAAGTTCAAAGAGGCAATGTTATTTTAGTTCTGAAGATCTCTGCAGACAGTGTTTAAATCATGGCTCCTTCACTTGATCCTAGACAAGTTATTTTATCTCTGTGAGCCTCAGTTTTCTTATCTCCAAAAGGTGGAACTAATCATGGCACGTTACTCTCAGATTGCTTGTCAGGACTCAAAGCTATAGCCTGCATAATAAACATGTAAATAGGTGCCTGGCCTACAGTAGCCAGTGTGGCAGCCCACAGCATCATTAGTAGTAGCTTAGTATTATGAATATTATTATTCCTGTGTGAGTTTCTAAACACCAGGATGTATCCTGAAACTGGTGAACCTGCAGTATGCAGGCAAGGGATGAGTTTGTGTGAGATTTTTTTTGCTTGAATTTTGAAACTATTTGCTAATATGTATTTACATTGCATGCATGGCATTAGGCTGTCAAAAAATTGGACTAAATACTATCAGGTTAAACATTTTCTGTAGTTACCAAATACAGGAGAATTCCAAAATCCTACTGCAAGTCATTTATTTAGTTTCCTGTTTTTCTATGTGACTTAGTGATTGGCTTATGGGTAGCAAGTACAATGAAGAACCTAGGACGTAGGGTATACACTCTGGAATCAGATGAAATTTCAGTTGATACCACCTTTTACTCAGTTGTTCCATGTGCAATGAGAAATGTTTTGTATGTAAACCTTCCTTCTCCCTACCCTCTTCATTATATCCAGTTCATTCACGCATGGACACATTTTCCCTTTCGCCTTAGAAAACTCAGTGAATTCTGCCTAAACTCTTATCCTCGTAACTCATACCTATATCTGTAACTATATGTAGTCATTTTTCATATAGAGACTTGATTGATTTCACATTTAAGTGACAGTGATTATGGTTGGTGTTGAAGACAGTTCTTGGCTCAATAAATTCTTGCTCTTTTCCTCTTCTCTTGCTCTGCAGCATCTGTCACGAATCATTCATTTGTCAGTATTTACTGAATGCCTCCTATGTGCCAAGTAATGTTTTAGGTGCTGGGAATATATGGCAGTGAAGTAAACAGAGCTCTGCCCTCCTGGAACTTAGCTGGATGATGATCATGATATTTTTACTAAAATGGGCTCGTTTCCTACCTTTGTGGGTAAGACAGCGGTCATATTTTTCACTTCAGTGTGTCTTAAAAGTTTTTCTTG